GAGTACATTTAGCCCTATCTGTACCAAAAGTTTAAAAACAAATATGGAGCCGTTTTTGAGAAAATGTTTTTGTTATTTTTAAAATTTCACATTTACATACAATGTTGTGCGAAAACTACTAAAATTTTCAAAAAAATGTACTTGACCTTAATAGAAGAACCAAATATGGAGAACAAATTTTATTTGAAGGAAAAATGTTTATCTTAAATTTTGCTGTTGTAGAAAGACATCAGAAGAAATTCCAACTTTTGCAATTTTAGAAAATTCAGAGTTAATCCTGAAAATCGTACCTATGCCACCTTTATAACTGTATCTTACTTTCTATGCTTACAAACATTTTATAGAAACTAGAGGTGCTGCCAAAGCCCATACTTTCTCGCAGTTTCTAAATGCTCCGCTACATTATACTACTGCATAAAACTGCAAAAGTGTTTTCAAGCAGCAAATTATTTTTCCGCTCCGATACTCGAACTGAAATTCTCATCATCAACGGGCCGGCACTCCTACCACTACACTACAGAAGCTCCTCATTATTTTTTTGTGGTTAGAATTTCTTCAAGTGGTTTTCAATTAAGGTTCTGGAATTATGTATTATTTTCTGCGGCAACAAAGAATTGTGACAAATAATATTTTCCGACCAAGATTCTAACCAGCGAACTTCATCTCCGAAGAACCGAGTAAACCACTAACTAACCAACTCGGTCTCCCAGGTAGTACATGGATTTTACACTTATATAATAGTAATAAGCGTATGGCGGTTTAAGTTCAAGCATTAGGAAGCTGGAAAAACAAGAAAATGTGAAAAAAATCCTTTGGGCGTCCAAAGACGGTATCTGGGAAAATAATAAGTCACAACTGAAATCCTAGTTCAGACTAAAGGGATTAGAACACTAAATACTGCGAGAAAGTCTGTGCCAATCTATTGCACCACTAGTTATTTTCTAAATTTAGAAACAGGATTTATTCACTTCTTCGTTACTACAACCCGGCATTAAGGTTTTTTCTGGCAAAATTTCGGCTTTTCTGGCGCACGATTACAAAATTTTCTCTGCTTATGAAAAATTCGTACGGCGAGAAAGTAAAAATTTGGAGGCAGTTCGTAAAAAATTTTGAAAGTGTCCCTTCATGTAAAGTCCCCCAAATCTTAAAGAATGATTATCAAAATCGCAGCGCTATGAATCAAGACAGATCGGCCGGGGAATATCCATTTTGGGGAAAAAAATACGTATGTATACACGCTAATTCACAGACGGAGGTTGGATGGACGTATGGTCGGACAGACGGACGGACGAAGAGAGAGATGGACGGACGAACAGACAGACGGACTTTCTCTGGATTACGTATATTACTCCATATATACGTACGTATACGAGAAAGAAGTGGATTTGCAACAAAGTACACAGCTTGGCGTATTAGATTAACTATTAGTAAAGTGATAATTAAATTGTAAATTATGTAATTCAATGGTTCAGATATCGTGAGCAAATCTATCCTCATCTAACGTCTTGAAACATAGTAAATTCTGCCCATTATTTAATATAACAGAAAACGCACGTTATAGCATTCATTTTCATGAAAATCCTGCTAATGGCGAATTGGCAAGTGCTGTTCAGACAGACAGATGGGTAGACAGACGTTTCGAGGAAAAGAAAATTCGGTAAAAAGTCTGGCAAAAGGGATTGTGATTGGTCACTACGAATTCGGGGAAATAATTTACTACATACTACACTTGAACGCTCTACTTTTCGGTAACAGTGACTCGCAAAGGCTATTTTTGTGTTCAAAAATCTACACTTTTCTTTCTACATTCGAGACACGAGAAAGTAAAAATCCATTCAGAAATTTCTGTTGACATATTAATTAAATTAAAAATGCAACGCTAATCCAAATTAACTAACGTTTTAAAGAAAACAATATTTCTGTATCGGTAAACCAAAAGTAGTGTATTTAGGTCAATATCTCTTTATTTTCGTAGGATTACGTAACATTTTAAAGTAAAGTAAAAATGAATGTAACCAGAGATATTACAAAACAAAAATCATGATTAGATAGTTATGAGCATTGGCTGGTAGATTAATGAAGAATGAATTTCGCAAGATTGGAAAGTAATAAAATCAATCAACATACGTAGAATTACCGTATTGCTACATAATATTAATATATTAATATTTTGAGTGACATTTACTACACAAGATCTGTAAAAAAATTCCTCGCGTCCAAGAAAAACCGTAAACTCTTAATCGCAGTTTTTTAAGGTTCAGTTAATAAACATGACAGTCCGTTTTCTTATGACTTCGTAAAGCCAATGACAAATTTATGATATGTAGAATGATGGAGTTCTTTTTTAAATTAACTCAACGTTATATTAAAGGGTGCAATTACTACTATACGTTCGAAAAGTTTGAAGAAAAAATTTGGAGCCGTTTTAGAGAAAATGGCATTTGAGCATTTCTGAAAATGCCAAATTTTGAAATTTACTCAATTGAAGAAAACAATTGAGTTTTAGAGAAACTTTATCTAACATTATTTAAAGCGCATCTACTCAAACATATAATAATGCGAACAAATCGCCACTAATATAAATATTAACAACATGAGAGACAAATCAAAAAAATACATTTTCGTAATTTTTGAAAAAACAAAGGAATAGAGCAGTACGGCGTTTATGTCATCTTATAGGGTGCAGTTAGCACTATCTCTACCAGAAGTTTCAAGAAATAACTTAGAGCCGTTTTTGAGAAAATCTTGTTTTTGTAATTTTTTAAAATTACAAAATACTCTGCATGACCTTAATGAAAGAACCCACTATGGAAAACAAATTTTATTTGAAAAAATGCCATTATCTCTAATTTTGTAGCTGTAGGAAGACGCGGAAATAATCAAAATTTTGCAATTTTCGAAAATGTATAGATAACCGTGAATATCGGACTTCTGGTATCTTTATAAATGTATTTTACTCTATTCTTACAAGAAATTTGAAGAAAAATTTGGAGCCATTTTACAGAAAATTTTGAAAATGTCCGAAGGGCTTCATGTAAAATACTCCCAAATTTTCAAGGAAGTCTTTCAAATTCGCAGCACCTCGAATGGAGCCAGATCCACCCAGGAATATCCAGACGGACAGACGGACAGACGGACAGACGCACAGACGCACAGACGGACAGACGGACAGACGGACAGACGGACAGACGGACAGACGGACGGGCGTTTTGAAAAAAACACTCAAGGGAATCCAAAACGTGTTTTCCGTTGATATAGCAAAATCAATTTTCCACAGCATTACGTAACTATGCCCCATACTAGGTATATTACTGCGAATATACGTAAGTATACAGAAAAATTATACAATTTTTACACGTGGTTTGGAGGACTTAAACAAATGTTCATGACAAATTTGAGGGAACTGTAACACATATTTGGCTGTGACTGAGTAACAAACAAATTAATTGCATGAAATGGAACTACTAAAACTGCCATCGCATTGTAAGGTAAATAATAAAAGCTTTAAACCTACATCATTTAAATTATTTCTAGAACCATTCATTGTCAAACCGCAAGAAATTCAAATAGCGCTTTTGGCCGTGAATGCGTAATAATCGGTCATGAAATGGGAAGGAGTGTGGGTTCGATCCCGAGACGAAATCCGAAATCTGCTGAACATGTGTTGAACATAGCAAGTTTTTTGGGGTCTTTGTGAATTGTCTGCTCTAACCTGTGGCTTCATGGCCTTTTCCAATCGATTACCGAAACAGCACTCTATAGCAAGCACTCTACAGCAAGAAGTGAGATGAAGAGAGATTTGCACACGATATCTGAAACATTAAATTACATAATTTGCATTTTAATTATCACTTTACTAATCGTTAAACTAATACGCCAAACTGTGCCAACGTAACATTCATGACCTTCTCTTCGCATATGGGAAAATGGATATGAATCCCGTACCTTCCCATAGCTTCTCCACGAAGTCTCGTAGCTTCGTTATGTAGTGTGTTCCATAATTTCGCCATGAAAACTGGCATACGCTGGAGGGAAAGGGCTAACATCCCAGAAAGGATTCAATATGGCTTATGTTTACAGTATTTATTTGTTTAATTGTATTTAGTTTGCATCAAAAACAGTATAAACTATTGTAACGTTTAGAAGAAGAAGAAAAGTTATATTTAGACACATTTAGCCGTTACAAGCAAAAGTAAAAGGCTTCAATATTTGCCCATTGGTCTAAAGGAAATCACCATCAATATGGGGGTAGAATAAGAGATGCTTTGTAGACTGAATTTTCAATATTAATTGTATCAGTTGAATATTTACGGCCAACCCTAAACAGGCATTCGCGGGAAAAACTCAGCGGCAAATACGAAGAGAACAACAATTCATGAATGTTCATAACAGAATAACTAGTACCATTTTTTGCAGCTACAGCTCGGTGTTAAAGCCCATAATAATAATAATAATAATAATAATAATAATAATAATAATAATAACAATAAAAATTACATGCTTCACGAAGGGTACATTTATTCTAAACAATATTGAATTCCACATGATTTTAAATAAAACCACTGTGGTTCCACATGCAGAGATACAAATCTGATCCGCTCTTTGGCCCTTCCATTTTTACGAAAGAGCTCTTGAGAGATGCAGTACTCTCTTTTCAGCTTCAAGTATTTGAAGATGATTATCGTGACACTTCACCTGTCAAGGGAAAACAGATAATAAGAAACGCCATCAGGATGTGATCAATGGGCAGTCTAAAATTTTTCACACAAGATTATTATTATTATGAAGTTAATTGTTTCCCATTGTCTATGTATAGATAATAAGAGTACTTTTGTATCAGATAGCGCTATTTTCTTGAGCGCGTGAGATGCCATACTGACGCACGTGATACTATCACTAATTGAAAGCAACGTACGCGAAGTGACGCTGCCAAATTTCCCAACTCGAGTGCTCGGGGCCGTATAAAAAGGCCAGCGCGAGCTGCAGGACGCATCCAGAAGCAATCATGAAGGTCCTCGCCATCGTCGCCCTGCTTTTCGTGGCCGCTCAGGTAGGTCTCCTCGTTCGCAGCGCCAGGTTCGCAACGCGCCTTCCGCCATGCAAATGGAATGCGTCGCTAAAGGGCACGTGCTCGTTTACAGGCCCACCACGGCTCTCGTCACCACGACGATGAGATCGACCACAGCTCGGTCACCGCCGTCTACAGGCAGATGCCCGTCATCGGTAAGCCTCGTGACCTGCAGTAGAAGCTCTTGGTCCACATTTCTCAGGCACTTAGATGCCACTTACTGTTAGATTGAAAATTTTCTGAGCAGTTTGAAATTGTTTTACTCTAAAAAGACATTCAATTGTAGAATTATGATATATTAGAGTAGGTAGCGATATCAAAGGAGAAATTAAGTTCATACTGGCATTATTACAAAACCGAAGTTATTTATATTCTGTGAAGTTAATGACATAGATCAGAACGAAAATAAAAAGCAATAAACATGGAAAAAATAATACAAAATAGTAATTGCAATGAAAAAGACTTTCTTTCTGAGAAATTGTTTTTAAAAACAACAAAATTATTAATTTTACTAAGATTAATTCAATAGTTTGGATTTTCTCGAGTCTTAAAAACGTCTTCAGAAAATAATTCATATTTACCGCGCTTTCTACAATGTTCCACTCAGTAGAAATCTAAGAATCAAAATTGGCAGAATCGCCTACATCTCCTTTGTGAGGTGAACTTCGTAAATTGTGAAACCTCATTTTGTTAACGCATAGACCGGCACGTGTAAAGTAAGAGGAACGGGCATTTCCCTCATCAGGCCTCGGCCACCCTCGCCAAAGACGGGCCTAGGTGTTCAGGCGTCCACGCAAAGCGTAGAATTTGCGCCCTCTGTCAGGATACCTCAAATTAGGCCCGTTGTTATTTGTTTTAGCGCGTGTAGCGGGTAATAGCGCTCATGACACGTGCCGTGTCTGCCGTACCGTAGATTCGGTTATGAGACGTGCCGGCGCTCGGCATTTGCAGACCGGGCCATCGCCCGGGGCCTGCAAGTCAAGGGGCTCGATATTAAGCCTAACGGGGGGGGGGGGAATAGTAAAAAAATGAAAAATAAATTTGAACTAGAGAAAATCATTAATGTAATTTTATGAGTCGCGGCACAGTAGTCTGATATTTCGTAACATTTTCAATTATTTTTTTCCTTAAATGTTCAATCATAGTAATTACTCATAAGGTGTACCAAAAGAAATTAATGAAATAACGCTAACTTTAAAATAAGTTACACTGAAATTCATACTATCATTTCATACGTTTAACAAGTGATTTTATTAAACACTAACTAAACTCAAAATTATTTTGGCGTTTTAAAATGACAGTGGACATTTTATTATTTGATCACTAAATACTATTACTAAAACTGTATTTAAAATATATTTCCAAAACCTTTTTCTAGCTTAAACGAAATTTTTGTAATTTGTTGAAATAAAATAACTCAAATGGTTTCTTGATACAACTTTCACATTTTTAATTTTTTCGGGGGGGAGCTACTTTCTGCATTGCCCCAGGCCCAAAATTATCAACCGGCCTCTGGGCCTCGCTGCGTTAGGCTTCCGCGTTCTAACCCTGAGCTTGTGTGTTTCCAGAGGGTGCCCCCGAGGCTCCTGACGCACGCATCATCAACGGCAACACCGCCTCCCGCGGACAGTTCCCGTACCAGGCGGCTCTGTACCTGAACGGCGTCTCCTTCTGCGGCGGCTCCCTCATCTCCACCCGCTGGATCCTCACCGCTGCTCACTGCGCGTCCGGGTGAGCGCACACACACACACACACGAAGGCGAACGGGTCCCTACCTCATTCTTGTCCCCTACACTCCTTCACACACATTAATTACAATACGTGCCCGGAGCTTAACGCTTGTCCCGGTTGGGGCGGTGATACCTTGTGGGAAAGACCAGGAAGGCAAAACTCCGCTAAGCGACGTGTGGGTCAGCTCTGGATCTCATTTTCCAGCTGCCAAGGAACACCACTACCTCCCGGCTGTAATTGGAACTACACTTCCGGGACTAATGACCATAGTAGTTAACGCGTCTGGTATTTTTTCAACACACAACTTCAATTGGAATAAATATAAGCACATCAAATAATTATTTTTTTATATTATTAATATGTTCTTCGTATCAATAAACAAACATGAATACGTATTAGTGCGTCTAACTGCGGTTTTTGCTCTTCCTACTTTCTGCGTTTCACTGCAGAAAAACGATACATGCAACTTGCTGTTTTTCATTAAATTATACTCATACCCATTTATATTATTTACATTCCCTTTGTTTTTTTCTGAAAATTTGACATGGTTTGTAAACAAGCTTGCGAGTCGAACTCTGTTTTCATTTACACGAACGAACTCATTCCCTTGCAGAATCTCCCGCTTCACCGTGTACCTGGGCGCCCAGAACCTGCAGGTGAACGAGGCTGGCCGCCTGGTCATCTCCACCACCTCCAAGATCGTCCACTCCGGATACAACGGCAACACCCTCAACAACGACATCGCCGTCATCAACCTGAACCAGGACGTCTCCCTCAGCAGTGAGTACACACGACTCGGCAGAGCGTGACTTTTCTTTACATTAAAATGAACTGTTATGTGCTTTTCGTATTATTGCACCGTTTCATAGACTTAAAGCAACTCGACAGAGAAGCGAAAACCTACTCTTAACGGGCGCTAAGAATAATAGAGACAAATGAGTAATTTCCATGAAATTAAACTTGTTTACATTATTTTTTCTTGTAAGAAGATGGTGCCTTACAAACAGTATAAGTTTGTTAAAAGTCTAGGCTGTCATGCGTTCCTATATAATATCGGTAGTACATGCGTTCCTTCAAATGCGATTCGTGTAAATAATAAATCAAGAGCGACCAAAAAGTATGCTTCAGAAAGGGAATTTTACTTGGATTTGAATAAATGTTTAATGAAACATTTCTCTCAACATATACTTCTGAACTATTATATTTATCTCTCTCAATACAATATATTCCATTCACTTTTGATAAATTATATGCAATACATTTACACAAAATATCCCAAGTTGAATTCTTATTCACGAACTCAGATTCAGAATTTCGCGTGTCTCTCTCCTTTTGACTCAAACAGAGGATCGACGCTCAGTACAAAATAGCTGTTTGAGAATTACGGAATGTGCGTTGTAATACCAAAAGCCGTGTAACAGGGCAACTCTGATGTTCGACGTGTTTTCAGGCTACATCCAGCCCATCAGGTTCGCCTCCGGCTCCGCCACCTACGCTGGCATCACCGCCCGCGTCAGCGGCTGGGGCAGGACCTCCGACAGTAAGTACACTCGCACACACTGCTTGCTTCTTCTCGTTTTGCTTCTCCCCTTCTTGCGCATCATTTTATAGCTTCTTTTGTCAACACTGCCCTATTAATTCTGTTTCGTGAATTATTCTTCCTGTCCGAATTTTCAATAATTATTCGGAAACATAAGTTACCTCGAATAAAATAGAAGCCAGGTCACATGATTTAGGCTCAGTTGTACCGAGCTATCGAAATTTCCCGTGTTTTGAAGTGGTTCTTGGACCCTTATATTGCTCGTGACAGCTTGTTTAAGCCTTCCGTCGAAATTGACACAGCCATAGAGGACTCACTCTCTTTTATCCGTATCTATATCCCTGTTTTCGTCCTTCAGGAAACCGAAAAAAGGGTTGAATAAAAATGTATTTCTCTCGTATACCATATTTTTCGTTCCCCTAAGAATCGCGGCATTTTCTTTTAATATCTTTCGTTATCACCATAATCGTGTCACTTTTATTTAAAATTTACATACCTGAACCGGTAAATGAGATGGAGACCGAACATCGACAGTGACGGTAATAGGAAGATCGCGGGTTCGATACCAAGCCCTAATCCTAAGTTTTTTGATGCCCCACATATCAAAGAGTTTGCGGCCCTTCCCGCGATCGAATTCGACAGACATACCGTGCGCAAACTCTCGTTTTAATTTTACACGTCCAAAAATAACTCAAAAAGTTGAAAAATAAACAAATATGTGTGAGTTCGATGTACAGCACTTTACCTTGCTCAATGTTGTAACTTATTTACAGCCAGCGGAGTCAGCAACACCCTGAACTACGCTGATCTGAGCATCATCACCAACACCGTGTGCTCCCAGACCTTCGGCAACATCATCGTCAGCTCCACCCTCTGCGCCTCCACCTCCAGTGGCCGCAGCACCTGCAACGTGAGTTTAATCTGCGTTATTTATTTAAATTACAGACACTGGGTCCAACGGTTAAAAAATGCTGTAGATAAAATTGGGGGCTAACAATTGTGTTTATTGATTTACTTGTGCGCTTTTCTTAAACATCAAAATCGAATTTGAAAAGTGCTTCATTCAGTGAGGTACCCTTAAATCATTACATTTTTAACGTTCGACTCGCTTTCAAAACGTTATTCTCGGCCTCTCCTTGGGATGCAATATCAGGAGACATGAATAAAACTTTGCTCTTGTGCACGAGTCGGCCATTTTGTTAAGGCTTCGTGTTGGACGTGCATTGCAGGGCGACAGCGGCGGCCCCCTGATCAACCCGTCCACCGGCACCCAGATCGGCATCGTGTCCTTCGGCTCCAGCGCCGGGTGCACCAAGGGATACCCGGTCGGCTTCGCCCGCGTCACCTCCTTCGCTTCGTGGATCACCTCCAACACTGGCGTCGCCAGCGCCTAAGCGCGCGCGCCATGCCTGAGCAAACGCTCGCGAAACTAAATAAATAGATTTTGTTTCGCAATCCATTGCTTCGTTCTTTGCATAACCCCTGTTCTCTATAATCATCTTAATCCTAATATTTTCTAATTTCCAATCCTTTCTAGTAGTTTACTAGTTCCTCAATTTCCTCATTTTCAAATAATCATTTCTCACAACTGCTATTTGCATCAAATCCTCACGTAATCAGCTGTGAAAACGAATCAAATGTTCTTTTTCACAACTCATATTTTGACTGAAGATTTGTACGAAATTCAATCTTTCTTTTTTGGGAATTAGGTTTTTTTAATATACTTCTATAAATCAAAGACACTTTTCAAATCCAAGAACTTTTTGTCTTTCTCTCAACGTCTACATTATATTTTCTACAAACTAAGGAAGTATATTATCAAAAATATACTTATAATATTGTCGACATTTTCCAGAAAAAATGAGAAGATAATGGAATAGTCAAAATTTTAAAATTTTGTAACTCAAATTTCAAAACAGTATCAGAATAATACCTTAACAACACAGATGGGAAGCATTGCATACTTCTATTTTAATTCATTGTTTAATGAATTAATATTATTTTTAATGTTTTGGAACGCTGGATTGCTACCAAACATTTTAATTATAATTTATTAAACAAATAAAATTTAAAATACAAGTATTAATAAAAGAAATTAGCAAATTAAATGACCGCGCATATTTTAGTAACGCGCGTCCATTCTGCTTACGTGCATCCATGTTTACGCTTGCCTTGGGTTTTAAGACATTACGAGTATAACGCTGTTTCTTAAACGGATGCAAAAGCTAAAAGAAGTGCTTCTGCAAATTAATAGAAGAAAATACAATAACATCTAGGACATACCAGAAGCAAAAGGTGCTAGTTATTGAAATCTGTTAAGGAAGAGAACATAATGGGAAAAGGTCCATTAGAGCACCAAATAATCCAACGCCTACCGGTATCAGAAAATGGTTCTTAGGTATTTCCATATTGAGAGCTTTTCACGCTTCCAATTTCCGTGTTGGAAGCTACATTTTCAAATAGGGTCTACAGAATTTCAAATGATACAGTTTGTTTTCCAATATTCAGAAACAACATCACCGTATTTGAAGTTCACTCCATTTGTTTTTACAGTTGAAGATGAAATTCATGCATCCCCATGGCCCTGTTCATTATTTTTATTCACCAGATGGACTAGGATTGGTGACGGAAAAGAACTTTCTCGCCCGTAGTTTCATGCTAAATTATGTAAAAAGTACTAAAATTTTCGAAAAATTGTACATGATCTTATTTCAGTATCTGTCTTTCGGGAACATATTTCATTAAGGGAAAAAAAATTCTATCTTTAATATTTTAATTGTAGAAAGACAAACAAAATATGAACTTAAGCAATTTTTTCGAAAAATTAGGGTTTTTAATGAATATGTGACCTACATCATTGTCATAAACATTCTTCACACTATACAACAAAAAATAATCAAAAACGATGGAGTAATTTTTTTGAAAATTTGGAAAATGTACCAAGGACTTTACATAAAATACCCCAAAAATTGAAATATGGATTTCATATCCCAGGGGCCGCGACATCAGTCAGATTGAATGGGAAATATTAATTATGGAGAAAATCGGCTGAACGGTTTAGAAGCTAGCGTTCTTCACAGACGGACAGATTTATCGCAGAGTGGATTTCTCCACTTTTTCGTAACCACGGTCCTGTAAAAAGAAAAATTCCCCATTTTTTCGCGCAACATTACATAATTTTCTGTCTACTCTGTAGCAAGAAAGTAAAAACGGCTATTTTTTACAGAAAAACTCTTTACTGCAAGGCCCTGATATTCAATTAGACGATAAATTTTGTTCTTATACTCGTATGTAGTAAATTACTTCCTCTAACGCGTTCGATTGACGACACACGTTCGATTGATAAAACAAATTGATTTGCGGCAAAACGTTTGTCTGTCCATATATCCACCCGTCCGTCAATTCGTTTTTGATCAAAACAGGTGTCCCAATATTTTTCAGAATTTTCTCCATACTTTTTTATTCCTAAATAATCCTGGGAATTAGAGACTGGCTCTTCAAATATTAATAATACTTCACATTTCGTCAATTTTCAATGCACAATTTCAAACTCGAAAACCGGAGGTTTGCCTTGACCAGAGGGCAGGAATGAACAAAGCCTATCCAAGCTGTTATATGCAAACCTTCGTGAAGTCATTGCCTTTTTCCGAATAATTAATTACAGTATTTTTTCATAACAACAAAGTTTTTCTAAAACATTATTTGTGAAAGAAAAAATACTAAAATTTGAGCTCAATACTTTATTAACTCGAAGAAGGTACGAAATGGTACCACAAGATAAAGTAATGTTATTTTAGCTGCAGTGTGGAAGCCGCATAGAAGCCTCGCTCCACGAAAAAGAAGTGGTTCTTTTACCGTTCCCGATGAAAACTGCAACTCACTTAAATTGTTTCAGTGGCGGCTGGAGCCCCCAAAAATGGGGTTGCACCTCCAATGACGAGAATTTCATTCCCATAATTCAGAACTCTAATATACAAGAAAACGTAAGCAACTCGAGTAAATTCACTAAAACTAAGCTTAACAGAAGGCTATAATGAACTATAATGAACATTACTTAGTTTATGTAAATGTCAGGTACGCTCACCTCCAGTGCTCAAGGTTCTGGTTTTGATTTCAGTAAACATTTGAGTATTTATATTAGTCCGGCATTGAGATAGCTGTAGGAAATAGAATTCAAACTCATACAAAACATAAACGGACTAGGATTTCAAAATACGGTGATCACATATCTGCTCTTTGCACAAAGCACTACTTGGACACGTTCATTTCATGATTTTTGTTGTAATTGTTGCCAGTTTTGGTGACTCAATGAAATAAAATTATTTCATTCCGAACATGTCCATAGACTAGAATCGTTTGAGAAAATGAAAGACCTTAACACAAATATTTATTTCTTAATCTAATATACATATACATACATTTATACATACATATACACATTTCTGTTGCCGTCTGGCTTAGTGTAAATTCTTACTTCTATTCGAGATCTAGGCAGGGGCTCCAGCTTGTCGTCTGGTGTTGTCGCAGATCTTATTTGCTGTTCCGCATCTAGCTTCCTGTGACATGGGGTGGAGGAGGGCGCCTCTGCGGACTCTGTCCCGCGCTGTTTGTACTCACGCAGGGCCAGATGTATATTGTCGGTGTGCGTGTAGTAGCCATCAATGGCCTCAGTGACTATTTTTTCCCTTAAAGCTTTTAGCTTGTGGACATCCGCAACTTTCTTTAGTGCGGCGTCGCTACCCCTACACCATTCTCCCAGTGCCCCTACCACAAGCGGGAGTACTTCGGCGCTGTGGCAACCGACGGTAATGAGGAGGAATTTCAGGAATGCTCTCTTAACGTGAAATTGTTTGCTTATTTATCTCTTTACTTCTAACGATATCCAATAACTAATATTTCGCCGGTTCGATAAATCTGTCCGACTGCGAGTTCGAGTCCCGCCTCGGGCATGGGTGAATTTGTGTGTCTACATATGTGTGCCGCCTTTCATCCCTCGCCATCACCATCACCATCACCATCACCATCACCATTACCATTACCATTACCATCACCATCACATCACCATCATAACCATCATCACCATCATCACCATCATCATCATCATGTTATCGTACATACCCCCAGGGCAAACAACCTCGGGAGATAAAAATCGTAAATCAGCTAAAATGCTGAAACCCTCCAGAAAGGTACTTGCGCAGTTCGGTCACATTTCCGGTTGAAGAACTCTTACTTCTTTCCCACTTAATAAACAACAGCGACAAAGACACAGCAAAAGATTACAAATAACAATTATCGCTCCAGACCTCAAAACACTATGCGTAAAGACGCGAAATGACTGCGCTGGAAAGCACTCACATTGCACACTCAGAGGACAACACCCAAGAAGGGGGACTTTCTTCCAAAGCTGTCGATCTTAACTCAGAATAAACTCAACTCATCAAATGCATTCTAAAAAACAGCCATTACCATCAATAAGTAACTGGTGTACTTTCAATAACGTTCGATTCAAACTAGAGTTACTTTATCAGCGCATACTTTCTCGCATAATTTTAAAATAATATTCGAAAATTCAGAGAATTCATGAACGAAAATGGACCCGCATCATTATTCTAACGATAGAAAAAGTTTAAAAAAATATTTGGAGCGATTTTTGAGATTTTTTTACAAATTGCATAAACTTCCTATTCAATTAACACAAAATCTACTAGTATTTTTCAAAAAATTGTACTTGACCTTTGGTAAAGAGTTGATTTTTTACAACAGACTTTGTCTGAGGCCAAAGTTAGATTTCACTTTAATTGTAGAAAAGTCATCATAAAGTTTTAAAACATTCCGTTTTTTCTTCACAGTCTTCACAAAATTTTTTATTAGTCCTAATTTAATTCTAATAAACAAAGAGGCACCACACTGACGCTTGATTTGTAGTTTCTTGACGAAACCATCCTTGTTGAAACGTGCAATATTTACCTTCCTTAAAGTAAAACCCTCAGTAAACCACTCTTCTTTTTCTTAAGGATGAAATACTTGTTCCTTGGACAACAGATTTCAATCATGCATCCAGTGCTGGCACATTCAGTTTTTGATTTTGATAGCTCTAGATATCATACCAAATCATCGAGTTGGTTTTGGTGAATAAATTAAGGTTCACAGGAGTTCTGAGAACTGTAGGTGAGCTATAAGTGTCTTGAGAAATATAAATTTCATTAGATTGTGAATCATCGATATCACTAACTTCTTGTGTGTTAATATCTTTCTATTTCTATAACAAAGTTGGTATCAGTAAGCATTCCCCATAATGAGTTTTGAGAGCTGATGTGATAATCTCACATTCAATTTTGTATTATTTTAAAATTTCTCTAAATTTGTAAGTCAGAGATACCAAGTTTTTAACCTCTTATTTTTTTCTAACATCTAC